TAGACACTGGAAACACCGCTCTTGAAAGACATGAGACTATTAACCTGTGCAGTCATTGCAGTTCTCTCCTGTAGTGCTGGTATCCCATCCATTTATCAGCCCAGCTGTCCCACAAGGTAAAAATAAAAGGGTGCTTTCAGTTTAACAGGCTGCAATCAACTTAAGGAGGAGGGCTGGGCTCTGCTGTACTGGGTTTGGGAGCCTAAAAAGTAGATTAGGAGAGCAACACATAAAACAGCATAAACCTCCTAAGTTTTACCCTAGAAAACTTTGTCTCCAAATATTCATAAAAGAGATTAAAAACAAGTGAGCTTTCAAACAGTCTGTACCAATTCTCTATTTTATAGTTCACTGCAATTTCTTTTAATTACCTTGCAATTTAAATTGGTTGAATCCTAGAGCCGGTTCCCCTTTAAAAAAGTCTTCTTGCAAACTTTGATTAGCTCCAGAGAAAAGAGAGCAGATGACTTTAAATGGCACAGAGGTGGATTTACTGGCAAGTGTGTCGGGTTTGCACTTAGCAAGGAATTGGCAGATAGCAGAATATGGCTGGACAGGATTCAAACTCCAAGGACTTGGAGCTGAAAAAAGATTTATTTGAATAGCAAAGTATAGGAGTGTATTTGCTGCAGTTAAAATTATTAGAAGCTTTTAACTAAAAACATGAAGAAATTAAACTTCCCGTGAAAGGCAAGCAACTGCATTCCTTCAAAGGTATTGTCACAGGGACATTTATTTCTTTCCTCCCTCACTGTGTCATTTACTGCTCCTAGCAATAGGAAAGTTTATGGATCTCCTTGATCAGGTGTATGTTCAAAAGCCAGATTAAACCTGAACCTGTACAAAATTACTGAGCATTCAGGAAATTAAATGCTTAATTTTTATCTTAAATCAACTGTAGGGGGGAAAAAAAGTAGTCTATTCACTGCATGTGAAAAGTAGGGAGCCTGCAGTCCCAGAAAAAGCAGAGTCAAAGGAGCGTGAGCTGTTTCACATGGACAGACAAGAGGCTTGGCCATGGCCTGAAGCAGCAAAGCCAGGGGGGTGTGCTGAGAGAAACTCACACTTACTGAAGGACTGCCAGCTGAAACTAGGACTTTATCTGGGGTTGTGGGGATGTTTTTGTCTCAAATATCACGTTTTCTTCAAAAAAGGTAAAAAAATTGCCTGTGACAGTGCTTGAAGTGTCAGCTCACACACTGGAGCCTTGTTTACACTCATGACCCTCACACTGGCAATGGACCAGTGGGAACTGCAACAGAAGTGGCTTCCAAAAAGCAAAAACCTCTGCTCTGCTCCTGGGCTGGTGCTAAGCCTGCTTGGGGCAGGAGGCTGGCCCAGCATCCCCTGTAACCTGTTTTGTTTTCCTGACACATTCTGCAAAGGAGTGGTCAGAGCTACCCAGGCCCAGGCTTTGGGTGATGAAAAAGAGGGGCAGGGTGAGGCAAAGCAAGGCAAGGCAGGGTGAGATCTCAGTCCCAGTGTGTCTGCACTGCTGCTTTATGCCATCATATCTGTGTGAGACACTTTTATGGAACTTCTGTGATTCCATTCTTCAATTCCAACCAGGTGATAGGACATTCTAGGCTTTTACAATGGCACATAAATACCCCAATTAACACTCAGCAGCTGCTTTTTCTTATAGCAACACTTCACTTTTTTTACCCTACTACTTACCAGTGTTGCATCTGCAATGAACCATTTTCCTACTTTTTTAAGCATAGATACAGCTTTTGATTTCATTTTTAGGGACTAAAGCTAAGAGATGTTTTCCTCAGAAAGCTGAACAACCACATTGCACATCTGGCAGCAGCTGGTCTCAGCAGCCAGCACGTGGCTCACCCAGCTACCAGCATGTAACTGAGACACCCAAAGGAATCTGTGCCATTTGGAAAAGCTCATCCCTAAGGCAGCTGAGGGTGCTCCAGACTGAGGTACCTCACATAGAAGCAGAGTCTGGAAGGATGGAACAAAGGGGGTGAAATGGAGAGGTTTAGGGCTCCAGGACACTTTCACCACAGGCCAGTCCTACAGAAGCTTGAACTTACATTACAAACACTGTGCCACCCTCCATCAACACTCCTCCCCTCACATATTTCCTTCCCTTTCCTCCACTGAAATCTGCTCTATGGCCCCTAGAAAGTGCTTGAGTGTCTTCATGGCTTGGACCACAATCTGGATTGGCACAACAGCCGAAATATTAGCAGAAAAATTCAAGTAAAAGAGAAGGCATGGACATTTTTTAATTCTTATTTCCCTGGGCCAAGCCAAGAACCTCTGGATAAGAACAAATTGTTTGTACCATCAGTAGAAGACCTGTCCTCTCTAAACATCACCCACAGCAGTGTAAGTGTGCAGAGCAAGCCTCATATGGAACACTTTGCTCACCTACCTCTTTCCTATAGAACTTGCTTTTTCTGGTTTCCTCTGTTATTCTAGATGAAAATGGGAGGTTTCTGCAAAGTAACTTCAGAATGATGTATCTGGGTTTGTCAGCAGCAAAAATCATAATTCATCCCATCATTTCTAATGCTTACACAGAAAAGTCAATAAAATTTAAAAAAAAATGAAAGGGAGAAAGCTTCCTTTGTACTCGACAGCATCAGCAGTATCACATTTTACACCACCTCTGGTACCACCATGTCCAAAAAATTGCCTAACAAAAGCACAAATAGAGAAGTATGTTATTGCCATTTTTCAGGATTTCTTGAAGGTTTGTCAATAAGGTATTAGAAATTCACCCAAGTCTGAAAACCGAGTTATTTTTACACTGAAATTTCGAGTTTCTGAGAACTTGAAAACTGCAGAATGCTCAGCCTGATGGAGTCATACACTGAACCCCAAACCTTGCATGTTTCCCCACATTGTGCATATATATGTGTGTGTATATATATGTGCATATATATATATATATATATATGTATGTATGTAATCCAAGACTTTTGAGTCCATGGAACATGTCTTTTCGTTTAGAAAAAGGAGACATATTTTTCTCTGAAACTTGCTTGCAAACTCAGGTCTTCTTCAGTACTCCTCACCAAAAAAAAAATCATGGCAATTTAATAAAAAGTGGAGAAAATCCTGCAATGTGACAGATCAGCTATAAAAGTGCACACTGAAATGAGGACAACCTTTAAGCCATTAGACTTCTTCATGAGACCAGATTTTTTCTGTGTCATACTCAGCACACAGAGATTTTAATTTTTCAGAGCTATAGGAATTTGACAAGTAAACCTACTAGAGTTAATAGCATTTTAATCTTTATGCATAACAATCCCAAACCTGCATTGCACAGGTGGGATAATAGTAACTGACAGCTGAATCTGAAGTATACATTTCATTCCAAAATAGATGCACGTGTAGGTGGATGTGTTGTAGAAATACAATGTACTACAGGGCTGAGCCTAGATAAGCTGGTGATCCTCAAACATCAGCATCATCTGCATGAAATGGGCAGAAATCTGCTCCTTTAAATACCTGTTCATCCTTCTTATGACACTTTCTTCAAAGAGCTCAGTGAATAGTAGATAAAATAAGTATCTAATGAGGTATGACAGAAACTCCGACTGAGCTAAGAAGCAGCAAGCTGAATTCTAATAAATAAATGAAGCAAAACATTTACTTCCAGCAACTATGTCAAGTTAGGCATAGGAAACTGCAGCTCTGCAGCTGGAGAAGGGCAACACTCTGCAAGCCAGAAAAGTGATGGAACTCCTCCAGCTTTGGTTATTTATGGTGTGATGATGAAGGAACAATTTTCCATGTGAGGAATGGCTTTAAAGTTGAACAGAGGAGCTGAAAGAGAGACTTAATGAAAAATCAGAGGGGAACAAAACTACAGCTACAAAAACAATGACATTCGGTTTAACAATTTAAAAACATAATTTGTGTGCAAAAACCAGATGTTAACTTGTCCAGCTTCAAGGTAAACAGCAAACTGTATTTATAACAACCCTTCTGCTGGACAGCAAACACACACCACTAAATGTTGCAGTATATGAGGCTCACTTTGGGCCTCCAAAGCTTATCAAAACGAACACAAATGCCAAACAAACATTTTAAACAAAGGACACATCTGTATTTAATGCAAAGCTATTTTCAAAAAACCCCAACCTTTCATAATCTACAATAATTGCAATAGCCTGAAACATAAGAATGCTTTCAGGCTCATAAAAAAAAGGCTTCTAATTTTAAACATTTATGAGGACACTGAGAAGCGGCTTAGAAGCATGCTTTAAAACATGTTTTCAGGTTTTAAACTGCTGAAAGCTGAGACCCCTTTACCCATTTGGCCTGGAGAGAACTACAAAAATATGAAGAGAAGACTGCACATGAATATTTCTACTAAAGAAAATGCAGCTGACTCCCTCACTCCAGCCCCTTCCTCCCATCATCCCTGCACCTCCCCGTGCAGGGCAAGTGCACCCCCAGACAAATCACCTACATCACTGCCTCTGATGCACCACTGTTTGTAACAAATACCTTTGAACATAAAGGTATTTAAAGGGCCACTCTGCCATGCTGCTGCTGTTCCTGAACAGAAGGGACTCTGTCTCAGTATTAAATTTATGTCAGCTCATTTTAAACTATACCTTGGGATGGGTGATTTAATGTTCATTCTAAAAAAATACCATGATCAAAACTTTTAAATGGTTTTTCCCAATTCATAAAATGCATGCTTTTTGCTGGGAATGAACCTTCCTTTGACACAGTGTAACTCTGGGAAGGAGGGATTGTTCTCACATTTCTGTTTCATGGAAAACACCCTGCTGTTTGATTTTTAAAGTTAAAGGATTAAGTTGCAGGGCAAAAAATGCTGCTAAATGCAACACACTCTACCAAGTTAAATACAGCCTCAGTCTGATATGAACCACTGACTTTAAAAATAGCTGTTCCTGTCCAAATACACCAGTGAAAATAAATATGAATATATTGTAACATTATAAATAGTGTATAATATATTGCAACATTAAAAGATGAATGTGTCAAGAATAAGAACAATTACTACTTTTAAGGTAATTCAGCATTAAAAACCCAATATATGAAAGCAAAGAAACAGCTACCAATCTGAATTTATAGCAACAGATAGTAGGAAGAAAGTTTTGAAAATACATGGGAAAATACAGTTCTGTGGGCATTTTCTTTTTGTCTTTTGTTATTCTTGATTCCTACTTTACAGTTCAACTTCAGGGCAAAGCACCACACAACAAGAAATCACATTCAAAACTATTAGGTAATCAAAACTGCCTTTACTGTTTAAAAACAAAACACATACACAAAATATTGCAGCAGCTTGTGGAATCGCACTCAGAAATCTCAACACTTTTAGACCTCTTCCCATGTTTTCATCACCATAATTTTTGCAAAACAGTGAGGCAAGCCATGCCATTTTAGGCATGAGTCTTTTATCACTGCAACCCCTCCATTACAGCTGACCACAAGAAGGAATGAATAGAGTGGTACTGTAGGGACACTACTGGTGTATCTTTCAGCTTGCTCCCTGACATGCTCTGACTTCTGCTGGAGAATGATGTGGTGATTTCTCAGACTTGCCTCCATTGTTGCTCCCAAAATAATTCAGAGGAACATAAGGCTCTAAGCAGTTTAAACATCAATTTCAAATTGGAGTCAGTGGTTTCAAGGACCCTTTCATGAAAACCAAGCTCCAGAACTCCACCCTCTCACAGCCTGACAGGCCCAGCCCCCTTGGAGATGTCTGGGCTCCATCTCGATGGGCGGCAACTCACCTTCAACCCAAAGAGCTACAGGCATATAAATACATGTGAAGCTTTTACTTCTAAAATATAAATATCTTTGCTGTTACCAGGACAGAACTGAACATCAAAAACACCTGCAAGCAATGAACATGTTTGAAGACACTGAAATAAAGAAATCAAGAATTAAAAGTTCTTAAATTATAGACTACAAAGCTCCTGAGTGCCGGCTGCATGTATGCACATTTGAGTGATTGAGAGAACTGCATGGAAATATTCATTTACCACAAAATCTGGGAGCACTGTCAGGACCTGAATTCCAGTCAAGTTTTTAATTTCATTTAAGACTGAGATTATTTCATATAAATTGATTTATTTCTGAGTGTACAGTATATTTTAACTTGCAAATATATTTCATTGAGGTTAATAATTAGTATTGAGTATTTGCTGTTATAAAGTTCCTTAAGCATGAATTTTAAGTACAAGGATTCATAATCAGCTTCCATGTATCCATCTGGAATGATACAGAATAAACACATTTTCTAGTCACCAAAATAAAGGTTAATATGGCTTTTTAAAAAATCCCCTACAAACCCAACTAAAACACCTTTTAAGTGATACATCTGTTGAGTTAGTTTAGCAAGACAGTGAAAGAACAATTTGGTAAGGTAGTGAAGGTTTTTCATAGCATAGCAGAGTTGAGCTTCAATATTCACCATTATCAGAAAGTTCAATAATTCCTTGTTTTGATATCAAAGTAAAAATTGTCCATAAAGTGGAAGGGTCTTCACAATTATGATGACTCTGCCAATGATTACAAAGATCCTCTTTTCTTCCGAACAACTGTTTGCATAAGATGCAGTTATAGCCTGCATTAGACCAAAATTCTATTTTTTTCCTTTGTGTGCCAAATCCCACATTTTGCATCTCCTTAGAAGCTTCACTACTTCCTGACTGGGTTGGTTCAATTTTAGGTATAATATTGACATTATTTTGATGGTGGAAGTGCATCTGTCTCTTTGGTTTTGGAACATTATACAGCTCCTCCTGATGGGCACTGCACTGTGCTAAATGTCTTCTCTCATTGTGCTGTTTCCACACGTGGCTTGTATGTTTGACCAGTTTCCCCTTTGTTCCTCTGCTTTCTTGCAAAACCTCTTCCTTCACTCTTCCCTGAATCTCTTCTCCATGGCAGCACAATAAGTGAAACTTCATTTCACCAAAAGACTCTGCAATAAACTGGCATCGACCACATTTGACCTGTAATTTCACTCCTCCCGGGTCATGGAACAGGTCCTCAAAATTGCACTTATTTCCCCTGTTAAAGAAAGGAAATACAAACTATGTAAGTATTAGCCAGGCAGAGAAGAGGAATGGCAACTTCTGCCCTTACAAATTCCAAGAAGAGATACAATCATGAAACACTTTTAATTAAAAAAGGGCATTGTTTCTACAGGATCTAATTTTTTGCAAGAGTTAAAAAAAGAGAAACTAAATAAATACTAGTAAGGCTGATTAGGGAAAAAACTGAAACCAAATGACACTTCTGAGTTTAAGAACTGCCTCCAAACTTAGCTTAGGTAGAAATAACCTTTTAACACCACCAGCCTTTAATAAAAGGCTGATAACTTTTGTTAAAGTTCTGTTTCAGGGAGGTTAATCCAAATACTTCTAGCGCTGTGCTAGAAAAGTGGAAATTACTATTACCTGCAATGTACAAGTAAGAGAAATCTATTTGTTTACAGTGAGTGATCTAGGTCAATTTGAGGCAAAACCACCTCCCTTTCCAAGATGGAAACTATGAAATTTCAAAGTTTCTTGCCTTTTTTTTCTACAAGTTGGTAACATGGTTTAGAAAAGCTTAAATACCTAACTGGCAATTGGACAGACCCTCCCCTGATTTAGCAGAGCTCTGAGTATAAAGGATACACAGGCAGTCCCTGGTTAACACAATCAAAAGATCTCCTCAGACAACCTCTCATAACATCTACAAGAAGGACCTCATAACACTGTGTATTTATACATATCAGACAGATTACCCAACAAAACAGATAAACTGTATGATTCACTGTGTGACACCTACAAAGACTGACAGAAGAGGACTGGTATTTCTTAGTCTCAAACCATAAAAGTTTCTGACTGCTGCTCCAGAGAGTGAGGCTCTGAAAAGTAAAATGAGCAGAATGGAACTGCAGTGTTGCAGTGAGCCATCCCATTGAAGCCCTGAGTGTTCTTCAGTGAAAATAAATGCACTGGAGCAAACAAAAAAGGCAACATTTATACTTTATCAAAAGATTTCACCTCAAAATCATAATACAAAGGTAAAAGTATGTTCTATCCATCTTAATATAGTGCATGTTAACTTTTCTACTTGGCTGAGTGATTGCAAAAACAGCATTAAACTCAGGTCAGATTAGCTCACAGCACTCCCTAAAAGGAAGTGGGATAATGATATTTAACCGGGAAAGCAAACTACAGGCTAATACTGAAATATGAATTGGCTTTTGCTTCCTGCAATTGGTTCCTCTATCTTCTAGGGAAAACCCCTAGGACAGAAGACAAAGCACTAGCTACAAGAAACCAACTGACCCAAATGTGGCAGCATATCAGGTGTTACTAGATTATATGCAAATTTATTTTGGATATTCAAGTGTCAATAATGATTTATAGTCAGTAAATCAGCTAAAATACACTGGTTGGTCTAATGGATTGACTAGATTCAAATGGAATATTTAAACTATTAGCAATCTCACTTGGTGGAAAAAAGCAACAATTTTCATAGTGGTGAGGTTTACTAATTTCCACTGACAACTTGAAATCCAGTTTTCATTAGCATTTAATCAGTGAAAACTCTCACCTCTCTGCAGCTTCTTCTGCCTCTTTTATAATCCTGTCTCTCTTCTTTGAAGTGTCCTGCACCTGCTGCTCACTAGTGTAGGGCTCTGTGCTGATAACAACCCTGTGGACTTCTCTGAGGTGCCCAAAGTACACTTTGGCATGGCCAAACACTTTAGCACAGAATTCACAGCACACCAGCTTTTTGGATTTGCCTTCGTTGTGATGAAGCTTCATGTGGGTGCTCAGGCTCCCAGAGTGCATATATGCCTTCCTGCAGATCCTGCAGCTGTAGGGCCTCCTCCTCGTGTGCGTGTTCATGTGGTCCTTGAGGTGGTGCTTGAGGCGGAACCCGTGGTTACAAACATGGCACCTGTGCACCACCCTAAGGACAGCTGAACGTGCATTTCTGCTTAGATCACTTGATTTGGCTGATGGAGCATCACTGTGCTTGGAACTCACACATTTATTGGTGAGTGACCCATTGAAAAAGGAGTCCTGCCCACGAGACGGCGTCGCCACGACGGCTGCGGGAGTCAGCGGTGCGAGCGCCTGCACAAGCACCACGGGCTTCGGTCTGATACTGCGGTACCGTTTCACTGCTCCTGCTTTGTTGTCTTCAGGTGCCTCAGTATCAACCTTGGCCCTCTCTCTTCCCTCTCTAAACTTATTAATGATGCATTTCCTTCGCTTGGCCTGAAAAGCCAATAAATCTTCCGGGGCTCTTTTTTTCCTGCCTCTTCTTTTAGAGGTTGCACTGCTCAAGTTTTTAAGACTGTCGACATCATCCTCTTTGCTGGAGGGAGAGAAAGTGTTTTCTCCAATGGATTGTTTGGGGCCTTGTGTAAATGATACACCTAATTGCTTATCAAAGCCTTTGGTTTTCATCAAAAATGGAATCTTTTCACATTCAGATTTTAGTGAATGATCAGGTATGTCCCTAACATTAATATTCTGCTTAGATTTACAGAACACTGAATTTTTCATTCTGGAGTAAGGCAAAATAGGAAGCTTTCCTTTTGGTGCTGATGGAGTCATCTGAATTGTACTGCCAAAAACCGTCGGTGACAAGACAGCAACAGGATTTGCAGAATTTGTGGGTTTTTCCTTTAGTTTCTCAGATGTCAGGAATGACTCTCTTGTGGTTTCCAATGCTGTCTTCACAGAATGTAGACTCAGTTTCATGGGATTAGTTGTACTTGCTGGCTTGGATGGAGAGTCTTCAACTACAGATGGTCCAGAAATATTATTGCTAGCAATTTTAGCTTTGTTCATTAAAAGAGATCTAGATTTCACACAATTGCTTTTATTCATTAATGTTGCAACTCCAATTTCAGCTGAGTCACAGTCTGCTACCATCCCTTGCTCAGCTGAATCTGAACTACAATGAGCTTCAGGACAGTCTTCATGTAGAGCAGTCATGGGGGAAGTCTGTGATGAGATCAGTGCTTTGGTAAGAATCTTGTTACGTGCACTCAAACCAGAGATTTGGGTCAGTTTTTTGTCACTCAGCAACTTATTTCTTACAGATTGGTACCTGGGGATGGGCAGCTTTAGGTTTTCAGAGGGGGCCACAGCTGACTGCTGAACTTGCTGAGTTAGGGCAGGTGCAACACAGGGCACAGCCAGCAGGGAAAAGGTGCCCTTGTGAGCAGCCACCTGCATGACAGCATAGTTCTGAGCTGGCACCACCAGGGGCTTAGAGCCTGAGGCTGAAATTGGTGTCATTGGCTCAGGCAAAGATGACTGAAGGCAAGAAACCACTCCAGATGTTAAAATGTTTGGTACCATTTTTGGAGCAATGGTCCTAAACTGACTTTTCTTCTGAAAGCTTTGTATTATATCCGAAGGGGATTTCTGTTTATCTGTAAGGATAACATAAAACAGATGTAAAATTCCACACAGTATTTTTTAAAAATTACTCTGTCAAAAAATAAAACTGCTTATGAAGGACACTATTACACACAAGCTTATTAAAAATAAGCTTGACCACCAAATGACCACCAAATTAAATCTAGAATTGCTAGTTTCATAGACAAAAGTACTGTCTGAAGCAACATGCTTGAACAAAAAAACCTTCTCTAAATCCAGTCTTCATTGGATGTATCATTCTAGGCTAGAAACTACATGACATTTCAGAACAAATACACCCATAAGCCTCTTCAGCCCCGGAAAAGCTGTGAGAGCATGCTGGCAATATTCTGCTGGAAAAGCAGGGACAGGATTTAAGCTCCATGACCCAGAACTTCTCTGAGCACCAGCTCTGATCATGTATCTCAAACAGAATCATGCCATCTTTCAGACATTCTCTGCTATTTAGAATTTGTGGGTTTTATCAGATACAGACCAAAGTTTGCCTGATGAAGTCTTAGAAAAATTCCTCCTACAAAACATGCAAACAATGTATAATAAAATCAAAGAGGACTTGAAAAAATATGTGAATATTAACTACAGTTTAATACCCAATCACAAAAATTACTCAGGTGACACTAATGCACAACAGAACTACTGCAGTTAATGATTTAAACACTTCCTTGAAAGATGCAATTTATCAAGGTTATATAACAATTTCTTCCTGTTTCTACTTGTGCTCATAAAAGTCACAAATATTTTTAGTAAAAAAAGTGACGATAATGAAAACAAACAGAAGGAAAACTATAAAATTCATATGCTATAATATGCACTAGGTAGCAAAGGCACCTGCTGACCTTTCAGACTCCACAGAAAAGGAGTTGATACATAGTTAATTGTACCACTACCATTTCACCTATCAGTCTCATTACCCACTCTCAAATTCAATTATTGATGCTTCCAGTTCTCCAAACCTGCAATACATTTCCTGGAAAAATGGAAATTGCAACCACTGAAAATTCAGCTACAAAGATTCCAGGCAGAAAGGCAATTTGGACATAAGCAAAAATCATTTGAGAGAGGAGTCACATTTGAATTGAATACGTGAAACTAAATGCTGCAACCTTGAAATACTGTAGTACGATAATTCCACAGGAAAGTTTCCATTCCTTGCCATTTTAAAGACTTGTATTACAAATGCATTTATATGTGATTCTGGACTTAAAAGGTAACTGTGAATTAGTACCAACACTGGAAACTCCAGTAAATTTATCTTAATCCTGGATGTTCTTCTCAGACGTCACACACTTTGCAACAAGCACTGCAAGCTACAGACCTATCATGTTTCATGACCAGAACTCCTGGACACACACATATCCATATTCATGGTGTGCACATGTGCAGTAAAGCCACTGCCTTCAGGACATGCTGGATTCACTGAGCAATCACATATAAACTGAACTGTTCATATTTGGTAGACCTGATGCTTTTCAAAACTCTTTGATCAGCAGATTCATAGAGCAATAACTATGCAGGGCATAAGCCTTTGATCCTTTTATTGCCTTCTGTTGCATCAAACCCCAAGACCATTATGCACTTTCTTTATACTCCAGTTAAGTGAAACTACTGGGCACCACCATAACTTTCTCTCTGCTCAATGGCTGTAGAGACCTTCTGAATTTCTAGACATTCTGTGCAGACTGGGTTACTGTACACCTGGAAGTCCTACATAAACAGAGATCCCTGCACACAGGGCTAAATCCAGGTTTGTGCAACCTGAAAAAAGGAGAAACATGATATGTTTAGAATTGTTTCCCTACAGCATTTTTAGTCTCAATTTTTAATATTTTTTTAATCTAGTCACTAAATATATAGAAATCTTTACATTTTCAGCTACTAAGATTTCTGCTAGTCAGATGATGATTTGTTTCCTACAAGGTATCTTCCTGCTGCTTTTGAGTAAACAATTTAAGTACTTGTGAGAAGAAAAATAAAATTATGTGAAGTATTGTAATCGCTAACCAAACTAGCCCTGAACTTTAATGATAGTTACAGGTCAAACCATATAGCTTAAATACAGCAGACAACAGAATAAGTGTACTTTCCTTTTAGGGGACAGAATCAGTTCTTATTTATCCAAATTATGCTTGTCATACACTGACAATAAAGACTTTCTGTCAGTCAGCAACTATTCAGCTTGCCATAATATTCAACATGAAGCTGTTTCCATTCTCTCTCATTTCTCTTTTTCCTCTCCTTTTTTATTTCAAAATTTCATTTATTGTTTTGCATAAAACTTTTAGGAATGCTGGAGTTTCAGCAGATTACTACCCCTGCTACTCTGCGTTACAAGGCACCCACTCTTCAAGCAATGGTAACGGGAAAAGGTGGAAGGTTTGCTGTGGACATGTCATCTCTACAAATGGCAGCCATAAAAGCAAGGTTAATTTGAAGTTAGGAGGAAATATTTGTAGAAATAATGTATGGCATTAACTTTAAAAAGAACCATATGTTTCTCAAATGCATTGACTTGCCTAATGCAGAATTAAGCAGTAAAATCACTTTTCTATAAAGAAAGTATCTCCACAGATTTTCTCAGCATTCCACAGGACAGTGTTGCTCTAAAAGCCAAGACCTTCACCGATATCAAACACAAGATTCTCTTTGAAACAAGGTCTGTTTAGATCAATACCCTTCTTACACAGGTAACACAATACTAAGAATGGATAAAACTGCTTGAGAAGGGATTTTTATGCAGACACTTTTTCCAACTAGTGTAATTTTATCATAAGTTTTCCAGGCAAGCTGTGTTTGGTACCAGCCTTCAGTACAATTTTTTTTTTCTCCTCCTTTTTCACAAGTTTACATTAGACATTTTAGTGCACAAATATTCATTGCAGTGCTTCTGGTAAGCAAAGGAATACTCAACTCTGCACTTCCCTGCCCTCCAACACAGCTACTGTAGTTAAGCTGCTTAGCCAGTGCCTAAATATAGAGCAGGGCTAGATGCAGACTAGTTCCAGGCTCTGATAACATTTTAACATTTTGCCTGCAGACTGGGAAAGCTAATTGGAAGAACTGGTGCAAGACTACTTAGCATCTTGGACCAGGAGAAAGCAGCCAGTCAATTCAGACTGGAGGTTCTACTGACCCCACCCAGAGCATACAACTATCATCAGTGACCAAAATTCTGTTTTCCATTTATAGTTGGTGAAGTTTCCACAACTCCCTTTGCACACAGCAAGAGCTATAGTAATTCATGTCTTCACCACACTGAAGGACTTGAATATGCTCTGGCTGACTGGCTTGTGCAAAGGCAGCTTGGAAACCTCATGTGCATCTCTCAGGGGCATTCCATTTCTTCCAAATTATTTCTGTCTCTGATTCAAAGGACTCATTTTAACTTGTCATCTGTGACCTGAGGAAAAGCCTTGGTGCCTATGCAATCCCATGAAGTCTTTCACCTAAGATGGGGAAGTTTCAGTTAAGGGAGGCTCTGCAATGGCATTTATGAGGATGGTCCTTCATTTTAGACAACATTCTTTCCACAAGTAAATCTGCAAATCCTTCACTGGAAGGCAACAATTTTTATACTTTCTTTAAAATTCTCATTAATAACAAAGGAAATAAATGAAAGCATTAGATTTAATATCTCAAGGATGTGAAGCTCATTTTTAACTGCTGTGTCCTCAGTCTTTCACATGAGTGTGAAGGTGGGGCAAACAGGTAGACACTTTTAAATAATTACACACAAGGCTAAAGCAAATGCAGTTCAACCTATTTACTTTAAAAGTCTCTGTTAAAAGATTAATGGTTCCCATGCTAGGACCTGCAAGTATCAAATCCCTCAGATACTTGCAGGATGTCATAAGCTTTCATCCCTTCTAAAGAACCTTAAAATTGTATAGAAGTGGACACTGACACACCAACACAAAAATCAATGATGCATTAAATTCTCTGACAGATCCATGCTGGGAAGACTCCTCTGGAGGAAATGGAGTTTCCATGGGTTGCTGCTTGTTCAAGGTTCCCCTGCCTTCCCAAATCATCCAAGTCTGGTCTACCTCAGCCTAGTCTGCCTTATTTAATGGACTTCCTTTAGTCTGTTCCCTATGTAAAGCACACAACATTGCTGAACTCAGATGCCATAGAATATATCAGAAGAAATTTAATTTTCAGTACTATCTGGTCAATTTTGAAAATAACCACCAAATAGACACCACAGAAACCACTGAGTAATAGTGTTCATTTTTTAAATAATCCTTGTAGATCTACCTCAGTTGTGCACATATGTATTTGTGTAGGAATTGACATATGAGAAGAAAAGAATTCAAAAAAAAGAATAATCTTGTTTTGAAGGACAAGGCAGAATACAGATGAAGATTAATGAGTATTCAATGCATATTAATACTGCTGAGTCTTTTGCTGACTTTGAAAGGAAGAGTATCTTTTCTGTGGGAAAGAAAAAAATGTACAACTGTCTAACACACAACATCAGATCTTTTTCTGCCAATGATAGTTTATCATTCATTTTGCCAAATCTCCATACACACTAAATACCTGTGGATACTGTCTTTCCAGCACAAGTTTCTTGCTTTTGCTGACCCAGCATACTTTGTTGGACACAATGTTTCTCTGCAGGATTAGCATGCAAAAAAACACCACCTGCAAAAGTGCTTCAGTTATAAATAGATACCAGGACAAAAAAACCCAAAACAACCAAACCCCCAAAACCTACAAAACCCAGAAAAAGACAATATAAAATGTTAATAAAACATTAACTTGCAATTAATGCATTAAGAAAACTATGGCTTTTTGCTCTTTGCCATTTTTCTCTCCTCAAAATACACTTTAAAATTGAATATGTTACATGCCAAATGCAAGGTGATAGCTTAATAACTGAGTAAAGCTGGTTAATGTGGCAAACAGATGGGATGGTTTAGCTTCAGTGTCATGGCAGACAGTCAACAGCAGCAAAACAAAATGCTTCAAAAAATGAAGATTCAGTAGCTTTATTGAGTAATTTTAATACAGGGGCTAAATTCTATGCTCATTTACACTTTCCATGATTCCATACAAATAAACTGCAGATATTATAGAAAACAGAATTTGGACTTCTTTATTCAAAAGCAGTTTTGCCAAACACCTGTACAAAATGAGATCCGTAATAAAGCCTAGAAACCATGAGTTTCCAGCTCTATACACTACAGCAATTAATTTGCAGTTGCTTTTACCTTTGCTAATAATAATTACCTGGTTGGAATGTTCTGGGTATTTGATTCAGAAAATTTTCTAAAATTAATTTCAACAGAAAATACCAGCCATTCTCAGTATGGCTGCATAAAAAAATTGTAAAGGAAAGAAAAAAAAAATCTAGTGACACATCTGTGCATCAGGTGAAGACCTTCATATGTGACACAGCAATGTCTCTTTGATCTGTGAAAACTACCCAAATTAGGCAAAGCTCTGGACTCTGGGCATGTGTTCAGTACATACTTCAAGCAGCTAACTCTTCCAATGATTACATCCTATTGAATGTGCTCCTGCTCAGGCTGGGCTGGATTCTCCCTGAACTATGGCTTTAGGTCCAAGCACCCAAGCTGGGAAAAGGAAATGGCCTCTCCTTATCTCTGAACTGCAGAGCTGACAGTGTGGAAGGGAAACAGGAGAATATACAGGGCAAGCAGAAAAAGCACAAGGCTAGAAATGAGACTTGAAAAGTGTCCAGGCCAAAGAGTCAGAGTGGGATATGGGAATTAAATGCAGACTTAAGACTGGGAACCAACATTACACATGAGGTGGAAAGGAGAAGCATTTAGGCCAAAAGAGGAATCTCACATTTCTTACCTTTTTAGTACTTGATTTTTTAAAGAGTAATGTAACTATGTTTACATAAGAGTGTTTTTGTGCAATTTAAACTGGCATAGAAAAACAAATAATACAACAAAGTATTTTAATGCAAGATTGGAAAAGCTCTGTAGATCATTCACATAAACACTAAGATACAGAATGTGCAAATACACTTACAAAACTTATTCTGGTGTTCCAAAGGAGGAATAAAATAATTTGTTAAAATTCTAGAAGCTTTAAGCTGTATCTTTAAAGCTATATATAATTAAATCTGATTTAAGCATAAATGTGATTTGCTAGTTGTGCAATAAGCATTTTATAATTTAGGAAAGTCCTCTTTACAGACTGTGCAAATTTATTATTTTAAGGGATTAGGATTATAGAGCATTTCAAGAAATTCTGTGAGCAGTGGAATACTTTCTGGATTGCTTAAATTGTCTCCAAAAGACTCTTCTTAGCAGAAGAGCACATTGAAATAACAAAGGTTCACTTTTTTTTTACATTAATTGGACTCCATTAAAGAGGATGTTTAACATTAAAATTTCTGGTGGCGTTTTTCAGCATGGGAATAAGCTACAACTATTTTTAGTATAAACTGTCACCTTGCAGAGGTAAGTCATACAGTAATCCAAGATCATGGGTATATAGTTTGCATTTAAGAAGTTCTCCAGTTTCCTCTCTAATTTAGTCTTTTGTTTTTGCCTGAAACATTCTTCCTGCACAATTAACCATATATTGATTAATATATGCCAAAGTTTATCCAGGTCTAACATAACTTAAGAAAAAGAAATTAGATTACACTACTTTCTCAGCTTCCAGAATTGCTTTCCTCTGTTGTTTGAAAGTGTACAGAGGAGAGGCCTTTCACACAGTCCTTTTCTCTAAATTGGAGAGGAACAGACTCTGTTGATATTGGCTATTGGATGGATAAGGAATTGGCTGATGCTCATGGAGAACAGCCCAATGCCCACATGGAGGTGGGTGACACGTGGTGTCCCTTGGGTCCATACAGACAATGGCATTCAGTGCACCCTCAGCAAGTCTGCAGGCAAAACCAAGCAGAGAGGTGCAGCTGGCACACCTGGAGGATGGGATGCCCGAGGCACCTGGACAAGATCAAGAAGTGGCCCCATGGGAAGCTCATAAGTTTCTGCACATGGCTCAGGACAGTCCCTGGCATCAATACAGGCAGGGCCAAAGAGATTCAGAGTAGCGCTGCCAAGAACTTGGGGGTACTGGTGGATGAAAAGCTGACTGTGAGCTGCAGACGAGCACTCCCAGCCCAAAGAGTGTCCTGGGCTGCATCCAGAGCACCGTGGGCAGCAGGGCAGGGAGGGGATTCTGCCCCTCTGCTCTGACCTACTGAGACCCACCTGGAGCACTGCACCAGCCCTGTGGCCCTCAGCACAGGAAAGACATGGACCTGCTGGAGCAAGTCCAGAGTAGGGCCACAAAAATGATGAGAAGGATGGAACCCCTCTTGTATGAGGAAAGGCTGAGAGAGAGATGGGGTTATTTAGTCTGGGGAAGGCTCCAAGAAGACTTAACTGGGGCCTTACAATACCTGAAATGGGCTGAAATACCTGAAATGGGCTGAAAAGAAAGACAGCGATGCTTTTTTACGTTGCTTGCAGAAACAGGACAAGGCACAATGGTTTTGAACTAAAATAAAGTAGATTCAGACTAGATACAAGGAAGAAATTTTTTACCTGCCCATCACTCTCACCAGCATCTCAGCTTCAGTACCTCTGTCCCCAGAGAAAAGTATAACATAAAAAATACCCATACTAAAACAGACTTGTTAAACACAAGTTAACACATTGTGAGAAATTTAGTCACTATATTAGCACCATTAGCAACAGGAATAATTAAGATATAATTTTTCATTTCTCATAGATTTATATTTCATGGATCTTTGTATCGTCCCATCACAAATAACTTTTAAAATATGTATTAAATACTATTTCTGCAGGGAACAAGTGGCCAACAGCTTTGAGGCAATCCACACTATTCAAAAATCACTACAGGTAATCACTATAGGTACATTACTTTGGGTAAATCACTATAGGTAAATCACTATAGGTAAATCACTATTCAAAAGCAGCTTCCTATATATAATGTATGGCAATGCATGGCTTAACACAACCTCCTATTATAAAAAGCCTTTTTTGTGCTACTGTATAAAGGAAGAAAGTCTCCAAAGTCTTTCCTAAGAGTCATAATACATATACATATGAGATTTTTAGACACTTTTGCAGTGAATTTAAAATACATTTACTAGCAGATCTAAATGCTTTTTTAGCACCTCTCATGCAGTGTTTGTGAACTTTAAAAGCTTTCCATTTTTTGAAGGCACAGCCTTTCAAGTGATAAGCTACTCATTTCATATTAAGGTCAACAAAATTAATAGGTCTTAAGCAGATCAAAATATTTTCATATCAAGAAATAAAAACTGGCATAAAGAAAGCTAGACATAAAGCATCTGTAATTACTAATAACCTTTTCCACCTTTACAGCTGAAGAAACTACACAGACTTTTCTGACTATGGCAGTATAAGAACTAAGGGCTCAAAATGGTGCCTGGCCTCTGCAACCACACAAATAAATGATTGAATTTAATTCCTATTTGAGCACAGAACTTCTTTTGGAGACCGACTGTTAGATAGATCATCAAAGACTGTATTTCAGCTTCTTTATGCCTCTGCTAGTTTCAGCAAGCAACCATGTCAGCCTCAAAGTGGGCATCATCTAGAAACCTTGGTGATCTGACAGGATGCAAGTGAGTAGAATGGAAATTATTTTGCTATCACTGCAAGTCCAGTGGTTATCTTTGTTGGTTTTGCTCAGTCATTCTGTTCCAAAGAGGACACCATCCCTGAAGATTTGCAAAGCAAGGCTGCAGTGATGCAGCCACTTGGGGGAACTAATTGTTCAGAAAATAATTGAAAGAGGTAATGGAAGCATTGGTCATAAACCAGTAATTCATAACCCCCAAACAGCATTGCAAATATAAATCAGGTACTTTAGAAAGTGGAGATAAACACCTGAAATTGGATTTTTCAAAATTCCTGAGAGAATTGCCAGTGGATATTTCTTTTAGTGAGCTTCAGGAAAGATATGGACCTAAACAGTAATTCATCCACTGTAAATTTATCAATGTAAAGTTTATTATCAATGTAAAGTTATTTTTAAAGGGTCTATCAAGATCAAATCAGCATAGACAAAATTTCAATATGCCTCATGTAAGTAGTAATTAATGGACTTATTTTCTATTAAGTACAGGAAACAGTAACTACCAAGACTGCTAAAAAATGAAGGCAAAATTCTTCAAAAACTATGCAGTGTGAAAAGGTCAAGTAGAATCATTTAATAAATAAAATCATAAAATAATTTCTGATTAGATTTTTGCTCTTCTTTCAAAAAAAGAGAACATACCTACATCTTACTGAGAGTTCAACCCTCTTTGGGACATGCATGTCTCACTTCAGTAAGGGAATTAGGCCTCTTACTATTCCAAAAACTTAATATTTTTCAATACTGACATGCAAACAAAAGAGAACACAACAAAAAAGCAAAAGTTTTATTCCTGTTAAAGAGTACTTTTTTTTTTTTGTGAGAATCAGTGCACTTTTTTCTAAAGAAAGACTGTATGCAAGAGATAACAATTAATTTGCCACTTTGCCTCAATATAGCAACCATATTTTACTTGAGGCATTAAAAACATCTGCATGGTGACTTCTGTAGTACAAACCTCAAAAATGTTCCCTCATGAACAGAGGATCAAAAGACTGTCAGTCTCGGCTTGGACTATTTCGAGTCCTCTGTTATAAATTATACACAAATTTATCACTCTCCAAGGAAAGGAAAAATTGTTAAATGCCAAGGATAGCTGGAGAGTATCTTCTCGGGGATTTTTTACATTGATAATTTCACTGAAAATTACCTAAGTGGTCTAAGTTTTGAATGGGAAATCCCTATCTAAGGTTTTTGTTTGCTCTAAATGTGCCCCCTTTTCTTTCTTCAGGAGCCAGATTTCTTCAGAAAAACTCTCCAGCTCTGGCTGAGATACACATAACATTGCTACCTGTAGTTAATTCTGCTGAAGATTAAAACTAAAATAAAAATTAAAGGATCTCCACAGTGATTCAAATAGGTATGTATCTTTTTTCAAAGACAGACGTGACTCTGCATAGCATAAGAAAACTAAAACATCTTCTGAAATACTATGGTCCTAGCTAGGCAAACATTAGTTTTCCTAATATAAAAAATTATCACTTGCTGCTGACCTTACTGGCAGTAGGATGCAGCAGAAAACAATTTACATTACAGTATCTGACTGGTTTTCCTCCCCCAGTGCATAATTACAATTATTTGCAATGCTTATTGACATCGCTAGCTCGCTCATGCCAGCCACCATGCTGTTTAAAGGCAGAGCTGGTTCTCATGAGAAGGGGCTGGATGTGCTGTAAAGAACAGTGGAATACACACACTGCTGACAGGTGATAATGCATCAGAAGGCCTGGCAGTGAGAGGATGGGAAGGAGAGGATGGGAAGGAGAGGATGGTGCCCTTGGCCGGCCGTGCGCCCGAGCCCGGCGCTGCCGTGTCCGTGAGGGCGCACAGCGAGCCCGGAGCGGAGCCAGCAGAGGGAGTCGGTGCCCGTCCCGCCGGGGCCAGCCCGGCTCAACCGCGGCTCACAGTGGGCCCTGCCCCACTGGCAGTTCCAAACAACACACAGGCCTAATCATTTGCCTAATATTTTGTAATGTTAAATACAGCTTGTCCTGAAAAATCCCCCGAGACACAGAATCAGGTACAGAACCGCATCCAACCTCTGAACAACTTTGTGATGAGTTAGCTCGGTTTTCCAAAACATTCTACCTCTGCAAACTCTTCAGTCAATTCACTGTTTTGTATAACTTGAGAGCAGCCTAAAGCTAAGCAGTTGAGCCTTCCCATTTGAAAGTAATAAATTCTATTAACATCTTCTATAACTGCAGTACAATTATTGTGCCTGAGATTAAAAAAAAAAAAAAACTTTACTGACCTTGTGTTAATCTGGTCAATGCCTGAAATGGCACGTCCACGTTACTAGAACCACCACTATTTACACTAGATGTTCTTCTTTCATTAGACATTTAAAACCAAAGCACTGTTACCAACAGATTTTCCCATCCCAAGGAATACCCTGAAATCTTTGTCAAACTTTCTCGCTTTCATCATTGCTCAGCTCATCACACAAACCATCTGCATAAATAAAGATGCAAGCATCTGCTGTATGGCAAATGGTCTCAGGGGCAGATGTTTTTATCCTTGCATTCATGTCACTGGCTTGGATACATTATTTGAACAGATGTACACAATCTGAAAGTGTCGTGTCCCACAGTGAAACGTCTCCAACTGCTTTCTATCAAAGTACATAAATGCTATTTGCACCTGCATTTATGTTAATGATACAAAGGCAGCAGGGGTTCCAGCAAAGTGAGAGCTGATGCTAAGAAACACATTTACAAGGCTAATGGAAGTTTGAGATCTCCCAGCACCATACACCATACTAACATGGATACAAAATGTGCAAAACCACACTTGACCTATGATTCTAAAAAACCTAAATTAAACATACTTGAAGGACAAAACTATTACTTTAGTGTGTGATACCATTTTCCAATGGATATTTTAAAAAGACAAAACATATTAGATAAACAAACCAGGACAGCCTTATATTTTGCAAAATATTTGTCTGAGATACAGAGTTCTTTCATGTTAGAGTCATTTAACAAAAATATTTTAGAAAATCTGACAATGCCAACGATATTTCAGTTCACTAAGGCACAGTGGTATTGTATGCCATGATGGAGCATTATAAAAAATACCAACACCTGCTCAATGGTAAATATTTAACATGAGTGTGAATAGTCAAATATAATACTTCAGTGATTATTATCATGTCATATGTTGTCATATGAATGAAATGATAATTTCATAATCCTGAGGAAGAAATAAAATTTGACAAGTTCAATACTTATTGTTCAGAAAAGTGCATCTAATTGAATACGGTGTTACAATTGCTTGCTACTTAAAAGATAGTCACGCTTCTTAAAAAATATTTTAAAACTGAGAAAAATACAGATGTCTTGAAGGAGTACGGATTAAATTACAGAACACCTGCTATTACATGACAAATGGCAGCAGTGAAGTGTTTAGCTGTCACTCAAAGAACTTGCACTAATCATTACTTCCATACTTAACTGAAAAATAACAAGCACACTCCAAGTACAGAAACACTGACAAATATGCCACATGGAATGCAACTGATGGATAGGTTCTATTTCCAATCTAATCTATTTCTGAAAGTTTTATTTGTAAGAAATGTACCAACATAAGAGCTGTACATAAATCATCACAAATTACTAATACCCTGCATGTTTTGAAAATGCTACATTTAAGACACAAGTGGTACTTGATATAAGGACAGAAAAGTATCATAGTAAAAAAATATACGGAGACTAAAGTGTTTGTAGAGTATCATCATTTCACACTGATATCGCTCCTGGTCATGATCTAGGGAGGCCCTGCAAAGAGATCTGGACAAATTAGAGGTCTGGGTAACCACCAGCCACATGAAATTCAACAGGCAAAGTGCTGAATTCTGTTCCTGGGATGGGGCAACCCTGGGTGTATGGACAGACTGGGCAATGAGAGGCTGGAGAGCAGAGCCATGGAAAGGGACCTGGGGGCCTGGTCCCTGGCAAGCTGAACCTGAGCCAGCAGTGCCCTGGCAGCCAGGAGGGCCAACCCTGTCCTGGGGCGCATCAGGCACAGCATGGCCAGCAGGGCAAGGGAGGCATTGTCCTGCTCTGCTCTGAGCTGGGGCTGCCTCACCTCGAGTGCTGGGGGCAGGTCTGGGTACCACAATATAAGTAAGATATGAAACTGCCAGAAAGCATAAAAAGGAGAGCCACAAAGATGGAGCAGGGCCTTGAGGGGAAGCCGTGTGAGGAGCAGCTGAGATCACTTGGTCTGTTCAGCCTGGGCAGGAGGACACTGAGGGGAGACCTCACTGCAGTCTGGTGAGGGGCAGAGGAGAGACAGGTACTGATCTCTGCTCTGGTGATCAGTGGCAGGACATGAGGGAATGGCCTGAGGTTGTGTCAGGAGAGGTTTTGGTTGGATATCCAGAAAAGGTTCTTCACTCAAGGGTGGTTAGTCCATGGGGCAGGCGCCCCAGGGCGGTGGTCACAGCACCAAGCCCAATGGAATTCAAGAAGTGTTTGTACAATGCTCTCATATACATGGTGCGACTCTTGGGGGTGGTGCTGTGCAGGGCCAGGAGTTGGACTCTGTGATCCTTGTGGGTCCCTTCCAACTCAGCTTATTCTGTGATTCTGTGACTTCTAACATGGAAGCTCACTTCCAAGTGAGCTTTACCATTCCCTCTGGGTACAAGTCAGTAACAGGATACTGACTGGAATGGACTTTGATTTAGGAGAAAAAAGAAAAAGCCTTCAAAAAAATTTCAAAGCAAATGCTTAATCAATTTGAAGTTTACATCCAGCTTCACAGTCTCTATTCTATTACTATTCAGAGATGTCTTTAACGTAAGACTATAAACAGGGTCAAATTCCTGTTACTTAAAGAAAAAATTAAATTAATGCTTTTAAGTTTTAGAAGTGAGTACTTTAGTCACAAGTATGAGAATGTAGAGCACACTCTGGGGTGGGCAGCTTTACCCAACAGGAAGTACTGTCTTCCTTGAAAGAATAGTCCCAAGAGACACAGAACTCATCAACTAAGATCAATCAGAATGACATGCTTCTGGAACAGCTTCTCAGAATTATTAAAGCATCATAAAAATACTCAGTCTTCACAAAACAGGTAAAGTATAAACTTACATGACAGTAAAAGCTCAAGGCTTCAAATAAAGTAATAGATAGTGCTATTCCTAATTAACATAAGTACTAACAATGGAAACTTAACTGACAACCAGCAATGGTTCTGAAAGGTCCATTAGAGCTGATGTCATACCCATCAAACATTCACTCACATTTAAGTATCATTAAAAATGACATCCATGTTAAAATCATACTTAAACATTAGCATTGAGACACAGATCAAAAGAGAAAGGAAACTGAAGTTACAGCTACACATTTAGAGGCTTGAGAATACATAAATACCCTTACTAATAACAGAGGGGAAAAAAATCAAGACATCAACCCTAGTGAAAACTAAATCAAATGAAAGACAACTTTTGAAGAAACCACATAGAAGAAAGAACTAAACACACAAAAAAATTAGTAAGGATGGGAATGCTGAAGAAAAGGCATTAAAAAAAATCCAAGTTAATGTTTCCTCCTATTTCTGCTAACAGTGTAGCATAATTTTCAGATAGATTTAACCCCATTTAATATGGGGATCAAATATAGCAGGGATTTTCAAATATATGAAGATTTTAAAAAAATTAATAAAACCTGAATACTTAATTCTGCTGAATCAAAGAAGAAGCAGATTTATGCACTTCAGGTGTTAACAGTTATTAGCAAAGCCCTAAAGAAGAATACACTTTTAGCTATTGTAATTGTTTAACGTGATAAATGCTGCAGTAATGGCTTTTTTTTTCAAATCATACCACAGCAGAATACTAGACACAAGTAATACAGTGATTAATAATGATGATATTTTTTCCACATTTTGAACCACAAGCATCTAGTTTCTAGATAAAGTATAGAAAGCATACCATACCTGCAGAAACTGTTAACGGATTCTGCATTATGCCCTTTAACAGTTACGACAATGTTCCTAGAAAGAAATACAGATACTTAGAAGCTCTGATAATTTTTTACAAACTAACAAAAAAAATGAACAGGACAATAGCAATAGTTTCCAGATTGCATTTCAGAATGGATCCAAATACATCCACAGCGCTCATGAAAACACCACCAGAGATTTAAGCCAAGGGTTTCTTTGGACCCCTATATGTGCTCTCCATATTTCAACTCTACTAACTTAGGCTTCTTGTGATTGAACAACCTTCTTAAAGCTAGGAAAGAGGACAGTCATGAATCCCAACGTTGTTGCAGAATGATCCGTTTGTCAGGGATGAGCCATTTGTTGGGTGCAGGGAAAACTCGGGGCTCAATATGAGATCAGCAAGCTCCATTTATTGAGGAGAGCATCAGACACTTATACAGCAAGTAATAAGCTCATGAATATTCTGTAATTTACACCATCCATTGGCCACACCACAACACCAGCTCTTCCCCATTCCTCAGGGGTTACATCTCTCTTTTCTCATGTCTCTTTCATTATTTGTTATCATACTACAGCTAGGCCCAAGGACACGCTATCTTGCAGGTGCAGGACTTGAAATTAGCCACGGCCTTGTACTTTTCCAATTCTCTAGTCAGCTAAAATCCCAACACAACATGGCAATACATTCTGAAGAAGCACAGACAATATAGGGTTAAGCAATCATTTCCCCTCAAACATGTAGACCTGTAGGGGAGGATCCAGAGGAGAGCCCCAGTGTTGATCACAGGGCTAAAGCACCTCTCTATGCAAACAGAGCTGGGGCTGATCAGTCTGAAGAATGGAAGGCTCCAAGGAGACCTTATAGCACCCTCCAGTACCTAAAGGCAGCCAGCAGAAAAGCTGGAGTGGACTTTTTACAAGTGCATCTGCAGATAGGACAGGGGGTATTGGCATTAAACTGAAAGAGGATAGGTTTAGATTAGATACTAGGAAGAAATTCTTTACTGTAAGGGTGGTGAAGCACTGGAACAGTTTTCCTAGAGAAGCCATGAACGCCTCCCCAAGGCCAAGCTGGATGCAGCTTTGAGCAATGTGATCTAGCAGGTTACCTGCCCAGGCAGGGCTTTGGGACTCAGTGGGGCCTTTAAGGTCCCTTCCAACCCGAATCATTGTGATCCTATGTGACTGCACGGATCCCACACAACTGTCTGACCAGCAGAATCCTCCATGGATGCTACAATGAAGACTACAATGCTACTACCTTGCTCTTGTGAGCCAAACATTACACTGCTACCTGTCCTGAATGTGCTGTTGGTATTTACAACAAGATGTGATGCACTGCATTTGACAAAATGCATTTTACATCAAATGGCCGCCCAGTAAATGAAGAGTTGGCTGCTTCTTTCCAGGGCAGCTGAGTGTGCTGTTCAAGCTCTGGTGAAGTGGGATTCAACAGTCAGGGAGGAAAGACACAGGATAACACCATGACAATATAAAATTGTTGTTATCCACTTAGATTTATTTTTCATAAAATGGCCTAGCTTTTGGAATGGCTGCATCGTAGTTTGGTTCAACTGAACACCAGTAACATGTTAGACATCAAAAAGGGTATGAAGCTCTTGTTCTGATGCAGCCAGAGGCTTCGGGAAGGTAACAGAAAAGTCCATTGACTGACACAGATGGAACTAAAACTTCTTGGGGATTTACTCAGATCTTGGCTTTCATACCAATGAACATCTACAATATTTCCACAAACAAAGCCAGCTGCACAGATGTGGAGATTGCTGACTTTCCTGACCAATTCAACAGCCAGGAGAACCTTACATAAAGAACATGCCAGACATGCACTCAAGACACACCTTCTGAGCACATGAAGTACCAAAGATTAGTTTTGCTTAAATACAGAATACATAGGACAAATAGTGATGTAAATCCCAAACAAAATAAGCCTTGAACATATTTCTTTACTGTCATGCAACTGACTCTCAAAAAGCAATGGTGAGGTTCTGGAAGAAGATGGTTCTGTAGGTAGCAGTAAAGTAAAAGGAAAACCAGTTCCATTTTCAGGAAGCTCAGCATCAAAAGCACAGAAGAACACTGAGCATGGCTGCTGTGAGGAGACCTCTCACACAGCAAACAGGAGAAGCTCTCTGGCACCTGTACCTTCTGTCCTGAGCCATGGCTAACATGCATGCTGGTACATCAACCAGCACCTCCTGGCAGTGGCTTCCTGATGCCCATCAGCAGATCCCCAGCTGCCTCAGAGAGCCTCTGTCCGTGGTACTTGAGCAGCCAAGCCATGAGCTGTCAGGCCCAGCACCCAAACACACACTGGCTCATCTAAATGCAGATGGATCTTGTGGGAACATACAGACAGCTCCCTCTGCACATCCAAGAATGGAACACATTGGCCACACTGATGTAATTCTGGAATGGTGAGACATGTCCAGAAATCAGTGTGGGTTTCCAACTTCTGTCACCCACATTGTAGGACATCCTTCTCTAAGGCCATATTGATCAATAACAGCTTTTCAGAGAATCAAAGTCTAAAGTTTTTCTCCCCCCTCAGTATTTACAGGACTCCAAAACACACTGAAACATTTAAAGCAACACATATTCTTGTAAAAATAATTTGAGAAATTATATTCAAATAAAGCTTCTCAAAATTATTATTTCAAAGTCACCTTTTTCTTTAGGTTTCCATGGTCTTTCCCTGTGTATGGGAGCATTAAATAATGTTAGGAGGGTGCCTCATCTATAGTTACTATCTACTTTTAGAATGACAACAAACCAGACTTCAGGATACAGATCAACAGTTCTTAGAATACAATAGGAAATAGAAGCTCCAGACATTTTTCCAATGTTCTTCCCAGACACATTCACAAACCCCTACACTACAACACGAAATTCAATCATATAAATCCAAACATTTTCCAGAGGCATCTCTGATTTGAATTCAACTCTAACTGCAGCAAGGTAATGGTATTAACTTAGAAAATCACTCCTTATTTGACAGACATTGATCACCTGCTCTTAATAATAATCATAATAATTTTAAAATAGTATAATTTCTCCAATTAACATTGATAATTTCTTTTAGCAATTCATGAATAGTATTTTTATTATTGTTGTCATATGAAAGAACCTTTCACTACACTTTATTTTTGGAGATATGTAATCAAGTACCCTCCCTTTTTGGAAAAACTGAAGAGTCCAAGATTCTGAAATCGGGACAAATTCTTATCCCTCCATTTTTTTCTATCCATCCTTATATGTCTTATGTGTTAAAGCATGTTTTCTTTGACTAAATATAGTTTACAAAGCAAACCATAAACATTGTGCATTGGTCCCATCTGTGTTTTACACTGTTTTCAAATACATCAGTTGTGATTCTGTCTTTTTGATCCTTCCTCTGACAGTTTTTGACACTTTTCTGCTAGGCCCTACCATGTTTAACAGATATTTATTGTCTACACTCATTTTATGCATGTCCTAAACAGGAAATGCAGTCTAAATAAAAAGTTCGGTACATTACATTGAATCAAACTTTTAGAATTTGAAGATTATAACCACAAAACTACTTATGCCTGCCCTGAGCAGGTTTGGAAGTTTTTTTTCCCATTTCACTAAAAATCTGGTCTGGTATGACTACTTCCCATTAAAACAAAAAAAACCAAAACCAACCAACCAAACAAAGAAAAACATGCTGATGTTCAAAAAAGCTACACTTAGAACTAAAATTACTAATTAAATTTTGAACCTTTTACATTCTTATATCCAGAAAAAGATTTAGGCTGGTCAGCAACTAATAATTCAGTATGTCCTGATACTTTCATTGACTACTGAAGAGGCAAATGTTTTTTCACTCTTCTCTGGTTATATTTCAATCCAATACTGTTTTTTTCCAAATACATGAATTTCTATCTGCCAGTATCATAAATTCTTCTCCACCTGAGAGCTTCTCAAAATGATAAAGATTTTTAAAATTCTATATAATCTTAAAATTTGTTTTGCTCAGTTTATAACTCTACCGTAAGGCCCTAAATAAAATCATTCAGTCTCAGTGTTCCAGATCTCAAATAAGTTTTCTGGAAATCTGCTGCTGACTACGCAGAGATGAAAAGAAATCTATTATAAGAATTTCAAGTGAAGTGGAGTTGAAGCTGGACAGAATTAGAAAGCAAAATCTCTCTTAATGCCATAAAATAAGCTCTATCATGCCTGTACTATTCCTCATGTTACCAGAGAATGAAAGGATAAATTTCATTATTCCTAAGAGGCAAAAATAGCAAGCAAACTGGAAAAAAAAATCCCATACTGTAACTCAGTCTTTAACATCCAAAGGAAGCAGAGCATATACGTGTAATAATTTCAAAGCAATTTTCACAGGAAGATACCCACAGGTCTTTTATATGAAACAGGTGTCCTGATAGACACACTGAATATGAATATCAGTTGAACCCAATTAACCTAATTCGATGCTTGTCCATACTAAGACATTTATCTTAGATGTTACACAAACTCCTTTAGGATATTACAGAGAAAGCGATAAATAGGCTGTAAAGGTTATGACATTAATTTTACTGTCATCCTCATGCTTTAAGCAGATATCAAAACTAAAAACCTCATCCTCTGGGAAGGAAGAACTACCTGAAAGTAATTATAGGACTTATTATCATAACAGTATTAAACTAGACCACTATGACCCTAACCAAATTTATTTTTGGTACCTTTTGTTAAAAGAACAAAGCGTCTCAATGACGACTGCACCTTCTAATACAGTGTACGTTAGTACAGGCACTAGAAGAAAGCATTAAATCAAATCTTGTAACTTTATATTAGGCTTAATTATGAATTTTAATTTAAACTAAGCATGTAAAGAAATATTATGTAATTTAATTTCAGAAGGAAAGCATCCAGCTAAAAAGAAATATTAAATACTTATTACAGTTTAGAAAAGACATTGTCCTGACAGAAGCCCATGAAATGCCCATTTGCATTTCAAAAGCAATTTTATACACTTCACTTTTCACACCTGTTCTTTCACA